AAAAAAGAAGCTACATGCCGGAAAAGACACGGGGAAGGGCCAAACATGAACATTTCCAGTCACCGGTGATCAGAAAATACGAAAGGTGGCTTCCCGAAAAAAGGTTTGTCAAAAACACACACACCGGAAAAAATCAGATAGGCAGGCAAGATACAATGGTTGTCGTTGGCTTCACACTAAAAACCGTTCTGATCTGGCTACTCAGTACCTTCATCTGTCCTTACTAGTCAAACACAAGTGCACGCATACGAAATAAAATCTGTGCGGGGGGGGTCGGGGGGGGGGAATACTCATAGTCATGCATGCCGTAGTCGTTAGACCATTGACCTCGTGTGCTAGGGGGGAGGTGCGAAAAACCGAGCCTGAGACTTTATTTTCCACAAGCAGCAAGAGCTTGACGAATTGGGGGCACCGTAACTGCTGCGCCAATGATCACACCCTCCCCCAGACCGGAGCTAGACGAAGCGGAGATTGTGCCGTTTTCGTGAGAGGGGCCGCAAATCTCCTACACCGACTTTTAGAGCTTGATTGCTTCACAACCCATATGGTGCGAAAACCGTCCAATACGTTCACAGCACCAACGAAAAGACGTTAGTCTCGGCGCTTGCGGTGGGTACATATTGCTCGCCAACAAACAGAGTGAGCTGTTTGTGGAGCTAGCACAAGGTTCTGACGCTTACTGACGTGACGTAACATGAATGGAAACTCTTATTGAAGCTGGTTGAAACAATAGCGTCCATCTTCTTCCACGGCCTTTCGAAAAGCTACAATCTACATACGGTTTTTTAGAGAAAATTATCTTAGACCATGTCCACGGTTCAAGAGAACCGTGGCCACCACGGTGAAGACAAAGGCGGATTCATGAGAAGGATACTGGCTTGTCACCACCCTCTCTTAAACCGTAGCCGCTACACTGCTGGTACGTCACAGCAGGATCCCCGGGGTGACAATGCGGCGCAACTTCAGGGGGGGTGGTATCCAACGTAACCCTCTGGTCCGCTGCCCTTGCCTTTGGATTGAACAATAAGTCCGTCGGATGTGGCTTACTACTGCTGTAAGAGGGTGTAGTAACTCTTGTTGTTGCGCTACGTTACGTGGAGTTGACCGACGTTACACTCTGAGAAATGCCGCATAAAATAAGTAAGGTCCGAGATATGTACAGCAGTAGTGGTGCGTAAGGTACAAGTACAAGTTGCACTCCATCCAAAATGCACTTAGTAGCACTGCTGGGCATCGATGCATTTTCCGGAGCAGGGGGCACCAAATAACAGAGAGGATGCATCAGTGCGCGGCAACGGAGGGGTGGGGCGAAGCGTGTTATGCGTAGTAGAACACCCCCCCGGCAATCTCTTTCCTACCCCAGATGCTTCAGATGCTCACTGCTGTTCGGCTGATCGATGCCTTCCAGATCGTCGCATCCAACCGCATGATTTACAGCAGTAGCAGTAGCACAAGAGTGCTTTTCGGCATCTTCCCTGTGGGAGCAACTGATCGGGGATACAAGCCAACCTACATCAGGTCCAGGGTTCTTTCACCAACAAGATGGGCATGCTGCAGGCTACTACTATGCTATGCGGCCATCACACGAGATTTTCAGCAGCAGTTCGGGAGAGTTTGAAAACTCATCATCATGCACGCTCACCAACGAAGCGCTGGTGGTTGAACGGCGTAATCGGGAGGCCGCGATGGTGGTGGTGGCGCAACGGAAAGACGTGGCCGGTACAAAGGCGACCGTGGATGATGCGGCCACCAAGGCAAGGAAGAGGGAGAGAACGAGCTTCATCATGCTTGTGCGTGTGTGCTGGCCTGAGGTGTGTGGTGGTGTGTTGCGGCCCAATCACACGTCTGCCCCGGGAGGGGATCGGGGGGGGGGTGCTGATTACATGTAATGATATCACGGGGAGTTAAGGTGATGCTGCGTGTGCGTGCACTGCTGGATCGAGCTTTGTGGGCGTGGTGTGTTCGCTCCCTTGGCCTCTGCACCTCGAGGGAGTTCGGTGAGCCCTCGTGCCGTTGCTGCTCGTTGTCCAATGGTGATGTCTAGCGTGCGTCAAAGGGATGGCGGTCCGAGTTGAATCCGGTGTTCCTATTGCCGCTATTTTGTCCATTTCGCCTTTCACCCGTGTTGTTAGCCGACACACACACGCAACCGCCCGCCGCCACCACGAACGAAGGAGTGCAGAGAGTTGGGTATCAGCAGGGTCAGAGCTGTTTCGCTGCGCTTGCTGTTGACTGAGAGCCGTTCCCGTGAACCCAGCGCACGGGCACCATAGCATGTACGCAAGAGGCTACCGCGTTTGCACCCTTGCAGGCTGTGTGTAGGGCCTCCGCCAAAGGCCAGCGGGACCAGTTCTTGACGTGCACACGCACTTCGGGCACGAAGCAGGGTGGCTGCTGAGGGGTGTGGCTGCCGCCCTGCTACGCACGACGCAGCAGAAACGGGGAGGCCTAATAGAAAACGTGTGTTCTCCGGTTCCGAAAGGGCGTTCAAATATGTTTTATGCAAAATACCACGAAAATACGTGGTATAATACGTAAAAGATGTGTCGTGTGTCCCAAAGAGCGAGAGCGAAGAAGGAAAGCGACAAAACGAATACCCGAACAGTCAGCAACAACTCGTTTGGTGCAAGTCTCACCGTCTTCGGATAAGCTTGTTTCGTCTCCGGATAAGCTTAACACACCCACCCCATACAGTAATGTCTGTCTAGTTTTCGTGCCGTGTCTCTTGAGCAACCCGTACATACTGGATGCCTGCTCTGAACCTTATTTTCGGGAGTCAGGTAGACTCGGAGTATTGTTGGAGGCATTACCGTAAAAAATGCGGGCTAACGCCCAGCGGCAGCGAGCAAGTCGTACGCGAACGTATCTGTACACGATCGGATGCACTAAATAGATGGGCACCTTGTACAAGAGCCTGTTTGCCACAGGGGAGAAAGTATGCTCGGGGAGTCGTAGACACACAGGTACAGTAGTACCTCCGCCATCGCTATGGATTGATTCGTACCACGTCGACACAACGTGCGAGTAACACCTCACCGCAAGAGCAGTATCCCGGGCTGACTCGTACCGGTATCTGCGGATACACAACAGAAATAGATATATCGTAGAGATGGAAATGAATTCGTTTGTGGTTTGTGTCTCTTTTTTTCTTCTTAATTTCCAGCTGTACGAAGAGTACTTGACAACGAATCCATCTCTATCGAAAGAGTCGAAGATAGAATAGCAATGAATTTGTAACATACAGCGATATCTCCCCTGCTGTGGCCAACAGGCTCAGTCACGACAGCAGTTTGGTAGCCGCAAGCAACAAGAACTCGCTGCTCCACAACAAACCGAGAGGGGCTGAAAATCCGACAACGAGAGCTCTCTCTCTCTCTCTCTCTCTCTCTCTCTCTCTCTCTCTCTCTCTCTCTCTCTCTCTCTCTCTCTCTCTCTCCTTGACGGGAACTTTCCAATTCCAATCTTTTGTGGCACTGGCGGCAAGCACCTTCTTGGTGGTGCGGTAGCCATTGAGCTCCCAACCATATCGATCGCACTCACTCCCACTGCTGTGGGTTACCGTAGCCCGCACTTGTTGCACGGTAGACCAGTGTTATTTACGACACCCTTGTACCGTAGGTTGCATCAAATATCTCACCCCCTGGACCGAGTTTCCTAAGCTTGAATTTTCAAGGCTTGATTATTCGGCAGGGAAAGCAGTGACGGTGCCGAGAATCGCGGAGTTGGAACGGCCCCATCGAGAGCTTTTCCGAACACGCATCGTTTGCCTTCGGCATCCTCTTTGTCGTGGAGTAATCGAGCTTTGAAACTCCGTCCAGGGGGTATGATATCTTGCGTATGCAACCTACGGTAGTCTCCCCCTCATCTTTTCTCGCGCATCAGGGCAATGGGGGGTGTCTATATGGCGCCATATGCCGATTGGTTGCACTTGTCACCGCTAGCGTGTGTATGGCTCGTGGCAACCGCACCGTTTGTAGGCGAGACATGCAACACATAGAACAGCCTGTCTCATGTTCCCGAAAAAAAGGCGGCAGTATCTATGTTGTGCGAGAGAGATTATTTTGGGAGTCGGCCCATGAGAGCACAGCAGTGCCATCAAGGGACGATACGAGATGAAAATTGAAGCAGGCAGCGGGCAGTTGGCTGCCGGCTAGCTGCTAGTTGCCATGTGATGTTTCCCAAGCTTAACAGCGCTCACAGCTGACGACGTGCTTTGACTGGAAGGGCCCAGCGAACCGAGAAAAGAAAATTCGCACATTTCAGCGCCAGTCCGTCCATCCCTACCTCTTTGTCTTCGGTAGACATAGCTTGCTGTCTTCCGATGCCCTCGAACATATGTAAGTATGAAACACACACCGTTTATCTGTGGAATACATTCGTTTGGTGTGTGTTTTGTGCGGAATATGAACAAACACCACCTTTGTATGACGAATCCATATCTATCTATAGGAAGAGTCTAAGATAGATTAGCAATGAATCCATAATGTCAGCGAAAGCTACCTGTATTTCCACGATTTCCCGCACAGCGCACAGCTTTTTCGTCTTGTGGTACAACAGCCTTTCTTATGAGCGTACTTGTATTTTCTAACCCCCCCCCACCGCCCGCGGGAGAGG